AGGGAATCGTGTAGTAGTAGTAGTAGTAGCAGTAGTAGTAGTAGTAGTAGTAGTAGTAGTAGCAGTAGTGGTAGCAGTAGTAGTGGTAGTAGTTGTAGTAGTAGCAGTAGCAGTAGTAGTAGTAGTCGTGGTAGTAGTAATCGTATTTCGTATTTATAGTTGTAGCAGTAGTAGTAGTCGTAGTAGTAGTAGTAGTAGTAGTAGTAGTCGTAGTCGTCGTTGGGTGAACACTTGCCGTACTGACAGTTCTAGTAGTACTAGTTCACCGCATCGTCATACTTGTGATGATCGTTGTGGCTGTGTTTTTCGTAGCGGCAGCAGTAGTAGACACAGTAGCTTCAACAGGAATGATTAGCAGCAGCATGTACATCTTCCACTATGCTCACTCAATCTGCGTCTGCTTGCCTCTTCAACCCCCCAAACCATGTTTGTCAAGGGACCCTGCATTTCAAAGCTGTCCTGCCTCAGCCCCTAGGCTGGCACAGTAATCTCTGCAGTTGCGACCATATTGTGTTTCTGTCACTCTTTCTGGGCGAAGATGACTAGATTCGCTGAGACATACTCACGCCGTATTTATGTACGATTGGGCTTTGGGGCTGCAGTTAACTACGGCGTGTGCCATTAACGCGACCACGGTGTTCTGACCGTAACAGTATTAATTTTGCACAACGCGCCTTAACCCTCAACCTCGAAGCCAAAAAATATTGTTCGACCCGCTAACCGAACCGTAGCGCACACACCCAGAGGTTCGAGCATACGTGTGGGGTTTAGAGCGTGGTAGTACAGCCTTGCTGCTGCACCTTCCCAGAAAACCCGAATACCCCTTAATTAAAGAACATACCTTAAATTAGAATATTAAGGCCCCTATAATTTAAGGTATATTCCTTAATTAAGGTGTATTAGGTTCTCTGGGTTCACAGGGACAAGCACTGCAGAGATTGTCGCCGTTGCTGATTCTGCAAGCTTCGGTCTGCCTACTTATTTGCCCTGAGGCTCTTAAACTTGGGGTGTAGGGTTTAGGGTTTAGGGGTTTCGGTTTAGGGGTTTAGGGTTTAGGGTTTAGGGGTTTAGGGCTTTAGGGGTGTAGGGTTTAGGGCAAGAGTCCTGGATGCAAAAGGGTTTAGGGTTTAGGGGTTTTGGGGTGTAGCCCTATGGCTATATGAGTCCTACCTAGGGCCTAGGGGCTTTTAACCAGTTGTGCCGCATCTTTATGTTACTAGTTGGCATGACGCACTCTCTGTCGCCTGAAGATACACTTAGTTCCCCCAATACCCAACCTCCAAACTTTTGTGGTCTCATAAATCAGTGGTAATCTGAAAGTTTAACTTTTTCTCACTGGCTTATTGGGGAAGTAAGTACGAGGCATGGAGCTGGGCAACCCGAACTCGGGAAGCTTCCAGAAACCGCAGTCTCAACCCCGAAACCCGGAACAGGAAAAAAAAACATGCTCACCCATAGGCCCCATAGTAGTTCGTTTTGGGGGTGCATATTTAGAATCCTATAAGGTAATCCCACAAAGGAACTTCTATGGGGCCTATGAGAAACGATGAGATCCACACAGGCCCGAGCCTCTGCATTTCTTCAGTTGCACATCCGGCGGTGTTTTGCTCCGGTCAGGTTGAATGGTGCTGGTTGTAGCCATAGAAACCCTAACCCTACTATAGTCTCCATTGTAGTTCCTTTTTTTGGTTTAACCAAATATATGTTAACGAGTTTATAAGGTATCCCCAAAAAGGAACTACAATGGAGACTATAGGTAGGAAGTATCGTCGGAGCCTTCTTTCCAGGAAGTGCGGCCGCCCTATGGACCAGAAGAGCAGCCTGTGGTAGATGCGCGGCGCTGCCGCAGTCATTCTGGGATTGGGTTTTGAGAGGATTTCGACTTCCGGATTTGAGTGGCTTACTCAGAAACTCCTACCTCTCCTCAATAAATTACAGGGATGAACCTCAAATTATACAGGGGTTTGGGGTTTAGGGTTTGGATCACATGATACAGGGACCACTAGTATGACTTGGGATATTCCTTTGTCGACGGGTTCTGTCTCTGGGCGGGGTGTTTGGAGTTTGTAGGGGAGTTCGTCATCTTCCAGAGTCGATCTATGCCACCTGGGTATGGAGGCCCATGTGGGTGGTTGTCAAAATCATGGTTCCTTTTTGGGTCCTTATTATTATAATACGGCACCTATTATTTAGGGTACCCGAAAAGGGACAATAATTTTGACAACCACCCATGTGTTCTCTCTCCTTCTCTCCTTCTTTCTGTGGTCACTTGGGCCAGAAGCTGGCCCTGAGACGCATGCCTGCAAGAAACCTAATCTGCGGTCCTAAAAGATGTCAACTGCGCAGCTACGACTGCTTCTGCTTTGTCCTGCGAGTGGCCAGTCCCCGCAACCACCACACCCACACTCGATCCGCGAAGCAGTCAGCGTCGAAATCTTGCACCCTAGGTCCTTCTGACATCTTCTGGCATGCATCGGTCTCTCACACACCCCTAATGCCAAGAACAAGCGAAGCCCAGACCCCCAAAAGGATCTAAAAAATAGATCCCCTAATTAGGGACCCTAACTACTAAAGGGTACTTTATAGGAACCCCCTTAGGGGATCTATTTTTCAGATCCTTTTGGGGGTCTGGGAGTTTGAATCCTAGGACCATGCGGGAGATCAACCAGGTCTTTGCCTACCGCTTGCCTCAGACTGTGCCACGGACTGCTTTGTGAACTGTTGGGTTTAGGGTTTAGGGAAGTGGGGG